GGGGGGGAATGAGAAGCTGATGCCAGGGACTTAAGTGGAGAGCAAATGTTTTGAGACTGATGAGGTCAATGAGTGTACAAATGTGCTTTACACTATTGATGTATGTATGGATTGTGATAAGAGTTGTATGAGCCTCTAATAAAACAATTTTAAAAAGAAGAAGAAAACATCCCTCATGGGAGAGGGAGGGTCAGGGAGGGAGGGAGGGAAACAAATGAGGAGCTGATACCAAGGGCTCAAGTAGAAAGAAAATGTTTTGAAAAAGATGATGGCTAGATATGTACAGATGTGCTTGACATAATGGATATATGTATGGATTGTGATAAGAGCCATAAGAGTCCCCAATAAAAAAATTTTTTAAAGAAAACATTGCATCCCTGTCCAGATCAAGTTTTTAAGTCTGATATTAGCCCATAGGTCCAGTACCAATCAGTAAATTCCTCTTCAGACTCACACAACACATGCAATGACGCTGAGTGCAGGAAGATCACAGGCCAGTGGGTGAACGTCTTGTGGATCCAGTGGCGGTGGAAGCATCTCAGTGCTGGTGTGGATCTCCACATGACTCCTCCAGTTCCAAGACTCTGGCTTCCATCAGCATAGCTGCAAGTGGCTTGTCAACAGGAATGTCTTGCAAGGACTGAGCATGTGTCCCACCTCCAGTGAGCATATATTTATCTCCTTCACGCCTTCATGAGGTCATCAAGCTGCCTCCTGATTGACAGGCTAAGCTCCACCTGTTCACTCTCAATAGTCTCAAGTGGACACCAGATGATGTAACTACCACACCCACCAAGGAGAGGCTGGTGATTTTGAACTCCTGACCCTGCAGTTAGCAGCCCAACAAGTCACCACTAAACCTCCCAGAAATGGCTGCTGGCAGACTGCTTACTCACTGCGCTACTAGGGCACCTCCATAAAAGTGACAGCCACAAAAATCCAAGGACCTGCTCTACTCTGCACCCCGCAGGGTTCCCATGAACCAGAGTCCACTGGGGTGGGGGTGGGGGGCAAAGGGGTGTTCGTCATCATTGAGCAGAGCCCACCCTGCTCCCGTGTAGCCGCACCTCACATTAACCCACCGATCCCACCTTTAGAGACCCTATTTCCAAACAGGATCACAAGGACAGAGACTGGGACTTCAATTTACCTTCTGGGGAATGCCATTCAACCCACAATGCAGTGTCATGAGTAGGGCAGGAGGGACACTTCAGCCAGGCCTCTGCCCTCCAGAGTAGGGACAAAATCTGTACCCAGAGGGTGGTCCCCCCAGCCCAGTTTGGGCTGTGAGATGGCACAAGTGGATGCAAGCGGGTGAATTCTGAAGACAGCAAGCCTGTGGGGCAGGTGGCCCACAAATCCAGGAAAGGGAGTTGGGGAGGTGGTGGGTGGGTTAAGACCACATTTTGGGGTGAAGAAACCAAATGGTGCCTGGTTATCAGGAAGACTAACGTCTGGGGTCTTAAAGGCTTGTCTTCAAACAAGCAGCCACCTAAGCAGTGCCTCAATTCAATCCACATGGAAGAAGCACGGCAGCCCGTGCGATCCGAGGATCGTGTATAACAAAATCCAAATCCGAAAGAGGGAATGGTATCAGAGCTTAAATTGTGATCACCTGGTTTGCAGAAGGCTGTGGCTGACCGTGGGAGCCCAACATTCAATTGCGGGGTCCACCCGTGGAGTAAGCCTCTGTGAATCCCCGCTGATCACAGACCAGGGACGTGAATAGCTTGGACCTGGTGGCGCAGCGG